GTGTTCAATAAACTGAAGTCGATATTAAAAACACCATTGTTAATAAAATGATTTGTAGAAGGAATCAAACCATACAACACCAGAATTCTGGATCTGAATGAGGTTTATTGTCACTTGAGCTGACAGGAAACCAACACTGGCGAAAAACCAGGAAGTTCATGTATTTATACACCTTCTTCAGTGCCTGAGTTCGCCCCCTACTGACCTACGGCTGAATCACAGGCATTCAGACAAAATTCTCATCTACTGTTCTCATAACGGTTGATTATGTGTTGTCACCTATTTCGGACATGTAACTAATTATCAATCAAAACATAATAGATTAAACACTGTCAACATTACAAAAAGGAAAGCCTAAGAATATAGTGTTGTGCTTTTAATATCAGTACTAACCTCTAATAATTTTAAATTTCTTCACCCTTGAATGAGTTTGTAATGGTTTGACTCTCTTTATAAAGTGCTTCCTGGCTCCCCCCGTCTCCAAACTTTGAGGCCCAGCAGCTCTCTGTTTACAAGCCTAGTAGTAAGAAACAGCTTTGATTGGTTGTTTCGGAAAAGTGTTGTGTTTGAGGAAATGGGAAAAATAGGTTTCATGGTGCAGTCACGCACTTCCTGGTCACAAAACGTTCTGTAAATGCGCATATTATGGCAAAAATTATTCATCATTAAATGTGGTTTTAACATTACTTTTATAAAGTTTGAAGTCCTTGCTGTCCAATCCAGCTTACTGTTTTTTACAGAAGCCCTGTGAAAGCATCACAGCTTTGCCGATCTCAGAGTGTTAAAAATAAAAAAAAATCCTGTATCCACATTGTGATCCGGAACATCAACAAAATTTAAAGGTGTGTTCCTTGGCCCAGTACCCACATGTGATAAAAATGTCATGACAATCTGTCCATAAGGTTTTGAGTAATRTTGTCCACAGACAGAACGACAGACAGACATACGCGACCGAAAACATTACCTCGCCCTTGGTGGAGGTAATTATTGGAGCAGTGTTATAAATCCTGACTGATGCATTTGTACTTGTAGGAAATAGAGAAGAACAATTGAATGTGAATGTTTCATCCTTTTTCTTTTTCATAATGTGATACTGTTCCAGTAAGAGTTGGACTCATCTCTCTTTCTCGAACAGAAAACTCAGTTTCTCCAAGCTCAGGTTAACGTCCTCAGTTTTCCCACAGAAGATCGGCTCTCTCCTGAGTCTCTGATTTATATCTTTGCAGGAGGTGACAGAGAAGAAAATTTACCTCCTCGGTTCCAGAGAGGCAGAGCTCCACTGGCTCCCACCGACACCCCTGACCTGTGAGAACATCCTCTTCCTGTTCATGTCAGCTTATCTGCAGTCTGAATCTGAGACACCACCTGGAGCAGGAACTCATCCTTTAAATTTAATTTACCAGAAGGAATCAAKGTGTTTTGGTTTTAATTTCTGAATGATTCTATTTTTCACTGTTTGTGTTTTTATGTCACAATTTTGATAAGAATAAGCTTGGCTTCAGCCTATCCTTTTTTTTTTTTGGTAAATTATGAGTTTGTTTATTGTTTCTGTTTTGTTTGTTGTTGTTGTTTTTTAATGTTTAATGTGAAAATTTTACCAAAAATAAAGTTATTGATTGATTGGTTGGTTGATTGATTTGATTGACAATTTTGATATTTGAATAAATCGTACTACTACATTTTCCTAATTACTAGACACTTTTATTTTTATTTTTTATGTCTATACAGACATACCTGACATGTTTCGACGTGYACTTCTGTCTTCATCAGAGGTGTCACAGCTGATGAAGACGGAAGTGAAACAGATCCAGTTCAGCTGTTGTTTATCTGTTAGTTTGTATGGAGGCTGTGAGCTGTTGTCCTGTTTGGTCTGTTTCTGCTCCTCCATGTTGTCACAGACACCTGTGGACAGGATGGGCGGGGCTCAGTCTAGTGATATTTAAGTCTATGGTCCCAACCCCCTCCATGTAAAGGCCCTGTCACACTAAGACGTTTTAGACAACTTATGCCAATTTTGTCCAACGCGTTGCTGTAAGTTGTACAAGTTAGGTGCGCCCCATTCAAACAGTTGCTCGTCACATTTACAACATTTGACAAAATATAAAGTATACTTCCACATGTCTTTTTGGAGACATTACAACAACGTAAGCTCTGTCAAGTATAAACACTGCCACAGCTGACGAGTGCACGCACGAGTAGGCTACCCAAAGCGTGACTCTCGACCAAGCCAGGCTGTGGGCTTCAGTGGGCTTCAGGTGCTCTGCGGCCGCKGYGCTCYGTTGCTCATGATCAAATTGTGGTACAATAACACACCATGTGTGCCAAATCACACACAGCTGTTGATAGATGTTGTTGCAGCGGCTTGGGTTTCTGTTTCAAAGATCACCAGATTGGTCTCCTGCGCCCACCTCGTCCTGTCAGGTGGAGCGTGTGAATATTTCTGTGGCTCAGCCGGTTTAATAATACAGCATCTGCCAGCTTTGTTTTTTCCTCTGTTAATTCTTGTTTATATTTTAATACTCAGTATGACAGATATCTTGTTTTTATGAGCCCCGCTCTCGGACTTCTTCCCCAACATGTTGACAGTCAGGGGTGGATCTACAGTGGGGAAAAGGTGGGGGGCAACTGCCCGCCTGTTGTAGAGCCTCGCCCCCCCCAGCAGTCATGTTTTTAAAATATTTGTAATTACTGTTTTTTTAGTCCAAAAGCCCATTACAACCTTCAAAATAAAATTTATTTACCAAAAATATATCATTTTAAATATAATCTGAGGCCCCTGAACAGCTTAGTTACGGCCCTGCACCAAACACTGCCTGCCGCTCCGCAGGCGGAACATGTGTCACGTTGACGAGTCAGTCTGTCCGCTGCAGAGTGGAGTCACCAGCTGTGTTTCCATTGCAAATATGCACAAAACTTTGTCGATATTCTGTTAATTTAAAAAAAAAGTTTCGCAATTGCTGTGTTTCCTTTAAGAAATGCTATTAAAGTCACATGTGAATACATTTCTTCTCGTGATAAGTCATTACAAACATGGCGGCAATGGATGTAAACAGGTGCATAATTGCTACCACAGCACTAGCGCTCATCATCAGAGGAGACGTCGGCGTCTTTTCGAGGGTTTCAAGTGACAAGCTCCTTATACTTGCTATGTACAGTACGCTACTTTTTTAGATTTACCGGACATATTATGTGTGTTAGCACAAATTATMAGTATCGGATCAGTATCACCAATACCAGCCTACATGTTACTCTGCATCAGGATYGGAAAGAAAATAGACAGTATCAAACATCACTACTAATCAGTGCTTAAATCATCTTCATACACTGAATGACACAGGTACAAAATGTTTAAAACCTTTTGATTCTCACTGCTTGAAAAAGACATTTCATGTTAAAGGTTTTGAACGTGCAACAACTCTGGCATGTGAGGATGAGACCATGAAGGAGGTCTTTTGAGCGGGCCCCATCCCAGTTGCTGCAGCCAACTGATTCAACCGAGATGAATCCCCCAACATCAAACTCTAGAGCTAAACTTTGTTTGAAAGTGTTGCTTAAAATGTAGCAAAACATCAAATGAAACACGTGAATTTCATTGAAATACTCMGAAAAAATATTGACTACAACTGGATTAATGTTTAGAATCAATCCCATTCCAATTGGCTGTATTTCAGTCAGTTTTATAGATTAATATTTTACCTTGGTAACATTTGAGTCATCCACAACACGTAATCTGAGTGTGATATCTTGTACATTATTTGACCAAAATAACTAAACCTCCATCATTTCTCATAGTAAGCTGATTGAAAGTAAGTTAAAACTTCAGCTTGAAAGATCATCTGCTGTCTTTTAAGAAATGCTCAGCCTTYTTTAAAAAATAGAATAGAAAATATTACATCACCTCTAATCACAGACAGAAAACCCACTGCTCAGATTAATGCTGTGTTTATTGCTCAAAGTACAGAGAAAATATGAAAAATTTCAAATGAAGACATTTTATAAGCTGGATTTGGAGAACAAAAAACTAATATACAAAAATGGACTGGAAAAAAAAGAATAATCTTTTTAACATCAGATAAGCTGGTAAAAATGTGAGATTCATTTTGTGCTGGTGCAGCAGTTTGTTTCCCCTCCTCACAATCTTTGATTTAATCTTCCTTTCAAGAGGTCTCACACACCTGCACAAAGTCATGTGACCACGGGACGCCTCGCCTCAGGTTGATGTTGTTCACACACAACAGCTGCTCATGCCTGAAAGAAAAATAACACAAACATCAAACTCTGTACATGAATGACATCATGCYAATTAAAGACAGTTAAAAATAAACAATGTGGAACATCTCAATTGAMTGAAATGAATTCTTTGCAATTTTGCATCTACACTGCAAAAACTGTCCATCTTACCAAGTTTTAAAATCTTATTTCCAGCCAAAAAAAAATCTTTTTGATCTTGTTTTGAGAC